CAAATGTGTGTTGAGCACCTCTCAGTTGCAGCTGCCCACGATTCACTGCAGTCAGAGGTGGAGGTCATCTTAATCATCTCAGCTTTGGAGAGTCACAAAGTGCTACCAGAACAGGAGTCTGCTCTCAAAGAGCCTAATGACTTCCTCAAGCCAACACCCATCTTTGCCTCTCAGGAGAGAGTGACTTGGATCATCAGCTCCATGTCTTTTAAGCAGTGTCTCCTGCTTAAAAACAAAACAAGCTCTCAAGTTCTCAGCAGACCTGATGCAAGTACTTTTCTTTAGCTCACCCACCCTGTAGCTCACTAGTAAGCCACCTAGCACGTGCATCCAGTTTGCCTAGTGAGGGAGGTGTGCGTTATTTGCATGTAGTAATGGGTTTTGTAGTTGTCTGTGGGGAGGCCAAACCACCCTATATGCATTTATCTCTGAGCAGATGCTTGAGGTCTTGGTGTGTGATTTGTGGGAGGGAAAAGGACACGAACCAGGCCAGGCTTCACCTCTGAGCTGTGTGACTACAGTAGCCTGCTGCTCTCTGCAAAACTGAGCTGTGAGCTCAAGGGAATGAGATTCCTTTGTGCTGCGGAGCAGCTCTTGAGAGGAATAGCTGTTGAACTTAAAGCATGCAGGCAAGATGTTATTTAAAAATGTTAGAAACTTGAGAATTGCTGGATTTCTTCCATTGATTTCTGTGGGAAAATGACTTTAGGTTTGTAGCCTGTTTTGAATTGATTTGGCTCTGTTTGCACAAGCCTCAGTGGAAGTATGGCTGAGCCAGTGGGATGTGAAAGACGGGGAGGACCCAGGCACTGCTGAGTGGAGACGGGCTGCGTGGTTTGCCGGGAGGGGATGTATTGAGGTAACTTCTGCTTTGACTTGAACAGTTGAGTTCCGTAGACCCTGTGACTTCGGTGCTATTTAAGCTGTTCTGGTGCTGCAGGTCCATGTCTAAATTGCCTTGTTTCTCACCAATCTGCCTCTTTGAGCCCTAAAAAAGATAATCCTTGGGCTCCTCTGTTCTCTTCTGGCTTCTGAATATGTTTGGTTTGAAGTTGTGATGTTTCTTAGGGGCTCTTTGATTGGCAGGTGTGCAGTGGCTGGAATGAAAACTCAACTGGACATGAAATTCCTATCTTGGAAAGTCCTTGCCATGCTACAAGTGGTCACCAGACTGATGGCATCTGAGGGCAGCTGTGCTTGGCTGGTGAGGCCACATGGAAGAAGTGCTTTAATACCACCACAGGAACTTGACTTAGGAGAAAAATAAAGTCCTACTTTGGAAAGCTTGGGGACTGCTTATGTTAAGGAGACCTGCTAGTGAAGCTTCTCTTGTATCTTCTCACGGTTTTATTTACAGCTCAAAATAAAGCAAGCAGTAGTTCTTGACTGGTACTGTTAATGTATACACTGTATATCAAGTTTATTGCAAAGTCTGTTAGCAAGCTACCAGCCTAGTTTCTAATCTGCAGATAATCTTATTCTCATTTATATGTTTGGGCTGCATTACTTTGCCCAGCGTAGGTGCAGCCATTGGAATCCATCCAGTTCACCTAACAACTTTCATTAAAGAAAATTGCCCTTGTGATAAAAATTATTCAGTGTGACAAGATTCCATAATATATTTTTTTAAAGCCTCATAACATTTTGTAGCAGTTAATGCCACTTGTTTGTTTTTTTGAGATTTTCTTTTAAAAGCAAAAGTTGACTTAATTGTGACAATATTTGTAGTAGAGTGAAATAAATCTTTTCCATCTGGGTGTGTAGAGGCCAGGCTGGGGGGCAGGAATAGTGCAGGGATGAGGAAATGAGAAAACCTTGTCTTTGAAAAGTACATTTCACTGTGTTCTGTACATTGTTTGTGAAATTGCTTGGAAGTCTGTGACTCTTTAGTAAGGAAAAGTAGATAGAATGAAGTCTGCTCACTTGCAGTTTATGATACATGAATCTTAACCTTATAAAATACAATGATCAAACATGGATTTTTCTGCAGCAATTGGGAACAGCTTATCTGAGCACCATCTCTCCTGGCTGCAAGGATGGTGCTTGGTATGTGTGTCCCCTGCATCACTGAGAATATATGGGTGCTGATGGAGTACCTGTAGCTTTTCCTGGCTTCTTCCAGCCATCAGAGACATAAGAGGATTCATAATGTGTGAGACATTTCTTACCAATGTGGCGTAGAGCAGGCTGCTCACTGCAACCATGAAATGCTTTGGGTTTGGTTTTTTTTGCTATGGAGGTGTAGTAAAGAAGTGCTAAAGAACCAAACCCAGCAGTTGGGGATGGAATGAGAAGACAGTGGATTAGAGTTCTTGCTGTCTCTCTGCAGAGTACTCACCTGAGAAAACTCTGTGGCTCCTATGCCTTCTTTTCTCCTGTTATACTATAAAAATGAGGAAATCTCTCAGTCCTTAACTGCTTTTTCATTAATAGACCTGTCTTTTCATAAATCAACCTGTCTTCAGTTAGTCTGTAGCAGAGCAGCCATCATCGTCACTACAAATATGGCCAAGTCAAGTGACTTTTTGTTCATTTGCTGGAGTGTGTCTTCCTGCAGGAGACCAGATCCAAAAACATCCCAGTGTTTTTTTGGTAGCAGGCTCAGCTGTGCCATGCTCATACCCCTGGAGGAATCGGTTAGGCTGCCTTCAGGTGTCATCATAGATGAAACTGCACAACAAACCAGGGCAGTTCAGAAGATATATGATGACAGAATGTAAAATGACCAGCACATAGATGGAATACAAACCTCTGGGTTCTTTCACAGTCTCACTTTCATTTTTCTATCAAAATAATTTCAGAAAGTCTTATATATATTTTCTATTGTTTTGAAGCTTTGGATTTTTTTAAGACTTCCCAGTGCTTTGTAGGTCTGGTTTAGATAACATAAATATTGTGGGGTCTGATCTTGCAAGTGCAGCAGTATGTGTGGCTACTGTTAGGGGAATCAGACCCAGAGCTCCTGTGTGATGGTTACCTTCTCTATTGTAATGAGCACTGGCAGCCACTCTCATGTTTATCTTGTCTTGGGTACATTAACTCAGGTGTACCTCCTGTCTTGGGTTTAGCTGATTTATGCTTGAAGTGAGGATTATTTGTTCTCTTTTCTGATGAATTAATCTTTTGTGATAAACTAACAATAGCAAAGGATGAGCTGTGATGTTAAACAGTGCTGGTGGTGGCTTCTTTTTTTTTAAGCTTTTTAAGTCTGCCTCAGGAGGAAGGCAGCTGCACTAATAATATATCCAGTCTCTATGGAAAGCCCTTATTTGAAAAATCTATAATTGAGTGGACAAAATTTCTGGTTGCTTGAGAGGATCTATTCAGAAGAGACTTTAAAAGGATGAGGGAAAAGCCTGTTAGACAGCAAGAAGTACCAAGGGCTCTATTGAGCAGAGAAACCTCTGTAGATATTGTGGGACAATTAGACTTGTCAGGCAAAACACTAAAATGCAATTGTGAGAAAAAATTCCTGGGGAATATTAAATAAAGCTTTGAAAAGGGCAAAGATCTTGCTAGGAATACCTGAAAAGCAAAGAAGTTGATTTGGGTGATCTTTGAAGGAAGGCAGGTGATGACTGCTTCAAAGAGAAGGTGCAGAATGTGTGTTAGTCACAGGGATTTTGCCCATTTTTTTCCTCCAGTGCCTAAAACCCTGAAGTACAATTGTTGGGTCAGCACCATGGGGGAGAGCTCATAACTTAGTTAAGTTTATTTGCCCCTTTGCTCTTTTTAGAGAGCTGTTCTAATACCTGGCTCCCCAGTGCCCTGTTCCGAGAGCACTTTTGCAATGTCTGCCTTTTCAGCCCCTGCCTTTCATGCCAAGGAAGACTCTGCTATAGAGAATGAGTGGATTTGTTCCCTGTAGTCAGGGCAAATAAACCTGCGAGGTTATTTATATTTGAATGATTGCCTCTACTCAGGTTTTATTGAGTGAGATTTTAAGATTGGTTAATTGCTTAGGTTTGACAAACTAGCTTTTGCCGAGTGAGGCTTGTTTCCTTGATCAGTCACTGATGGCAGCGGGCAGTATGTGCATTAATGAACAGTCCCTGGCACGCTGTGAATGGGCTTTGCTGTCAAGTAAGTCAAAACTTCAGCTGCCTAAAGCTCAACCCGTTAGTGGTTAGGCCAGCCTCAGCTCTTAGCTTATTTTTAGGTTTTTTTTCTTTGGTGCTTTACTCTTTGATGTAAAGACAGCTGTGTGCCCCTCACTCTTTATGTAGACCAAGCTTTTTATTTCCACATCTAAACAAGCTGTCTGTTGTTTTCATCACTCAGTAATCTTTTTCTGCAGCTTTCCTGTTTGAATTCTTGTTAATCGTAGTGACCACGAGTGTCTGGGCTAATTCAGATGTGGCTCCAGTCCATATTCAGTAGCATAAATATTTCAATATTTAAATGCAAATATCTCCTGATGAGCATTTTATGTAGCCATCCAAATATATACAGTGGCTTTGCTTGCCTTGCTGGCCTAGAGGATGTCTGAGTAGGCTTTTTGCTCTTTTTTACTTATGCATGAGTGATTGATTGGTCATGTTTTGTGTTTTGAAGATACTGAACACAACTTAAATGCACTGGATGCAGTTTACTTCTGAAAGTAAATTGTCCTAGTTCTCTTCTAAGCTGCACTGGTATTCTGCAAACATATCTGAGGATCCCTGCAGTTTGCTCTGATAGAGGTCTGCCAGCTGACTTTTTATTTCTTTTCACCTTCTGTTTCTGCATCCTGCAGTCCTCTATCTTCTGTCTTCTCCTAGTTCCGCCCTCCTCCCTTTTTTTTTAATTGCTCCTAAGGTTTTAGAACATCTTCAGAAGTCTTGGTTAAGACATTATGTTTAAACATTGGATTTAAAGAAAATTGTTCTTACTTCTTCTTTCATGTTACTGTATTTGTTAACTGTTCAGGACCTACTTTCAAAGACATCTTCTGGTAAAGAAGGAACCACATTTTTAAGAAATTAGTTGTTACGGTGTTTAAATTTCTCCTTTTCATACAGAACACCTGAAGAAACGCCTGGAAGATTATATGGCCCAGTTCCCAAATGTGAGAATCCTCCGAACCAAAAAGAGAGAAGGGCTGATAAGAACCCGAATGCTGGGGGCCTCTGTGGCAATAGGGGACGTCATCACCTTCTTGGATTCCCATTGCGAAGCCAATGTGAACTGGCTGCCACCTCTGTTAGGTAAGTGTGTGGTGGTGTACATGGCTGAAGACTGAACTGCTAAGGAGTTGGCAACAGATGTTGGTGTTGAATTTGTTTTATTTCCACCTGCTCCTTTCCCCTTGTGCTGTAAGTGGACAAAAGGAAGATGAAATGACTTAAAAGGGAGAACAAACAAAAACCAATAAACCAACCAACCACAAGACTCAGGTGAATTGACAACTTGTAGCCTTTAATATGAGAATTTTTTTCTGTTTTAGAATCCTGCACTGTACAGTCACCCTATCATATGCTTTGCTTAATTAAAGAGCAGAAATAATATTCTTTTGTTTCCTCACTAAATGAAATCTTAAATAATTTACAGCTTGCTAGATGAGTTAACTCTTGTATGGTCATTCAGCAGCTTGCAGAGAGGAGTGGTTTTATGATACAGATCTTTACATACAGTTTTTAAGTAGCTTTTAGGGTTTTTTTTTTTTCTCCTCTATAACTATATTTAACAGTCTGCAAGCCTATGGAAAATACTTCTTGTAACTGACAGCTGCTTGTACGTATTTGTAGAACATGTGCAGTCCTTCCCAAGACAGTGCTTCATCTTTAAAGAGGCATCAGTTTTACAATGTCAGATCTTTTCAAGGATGACTAATTGAAAGGACAGTGCCTTCTGTTTCTGGTACCTGTATGCCTCTGGCCAGGACCAAACTCCTTTACAACCCTATTGCAAGTGACCTGTCAGAGCTCTCCGAGATGTGCCTTTGTCAAATAAACTGTGGCAACAATAGTCGAGTGAAGGTTTAAAAAAACCTAGTCAGATTGGTAATACTGTTACTTTCACAATGTTTGCAGCTTCATGAGCCCCAGGGAGGGAGGACAGAATTAGCTCAAATGCCATTTAAATGAGAACATGTAGAACATTCTTTAATTTTAAAGCATAGAAAGGATTTCTGTTAGATACACATTGGAAGCTGAAACATCATTTGTCGCCTCTGCTCTGGAAGTTAACTTCCAACAAGAGACCATCTCAGTGATAAAGTATTTAAGAAGTTCCAGATGTTTATGCAGGAATTAATCCTGCATATTTATGTTGTTTATATTATTTGCTTGTAAGAAAAGGTTTGAGGGGAGGAGGTACGCTTGGATTTCTTGAACCTGCCGAGAGTAGTTATGCCATTAGTCTGAATCGCTTCCTGCCAGATTCTGGTGTAGCAATTAAAGCTAGGTGGTACAGTGGGTCATTGCCCTGGCTTTGAATCAGTGCAGAAAGGGTTCATATCCTGGTCGCTCATTAAAATGAGGAGTGTTCACTAAGCACAAGATTGTCTGGTTTTAGCCTGGTGGTTTAGGTATCTGTGGTGGTGTGGCTGTGTCTTTCTATTCTGCTTCTGGGTGATGGTCACTGTAGCATGAGTGTCTGGTGTTTTTATCTCAATAAGTTCTAGCTTGGGTATCTCAATTATTGCAGAAATGCCAGATAAATTGATATGAATTGGAGCATCTGCCCAAAAGAGCACTAATAGGAAGAAAGCTATGTTGCTCTTGGACAACTTTGTATTTTGATGCTCTTTTCTGTAATTTCATGGTCAATGGAACCAACTGGTGCAGGTTTTCTAACATATTTCTCCAATCTTCAGATCGCATTGCCCGAAACCGCAAGACTATCGTTTGCCCTATGATTGATGTTATTGATCATGACCACTTTGGATATGAGACTCAGGCTGGAGACGCAATGCGAGGTGCATTTGACTGGGAGATGTATTACAAGAGGATCCCTATTCCTCCTGAGTTACAGAAACTTGATCCCAGTGATCCCTTTGAGTAAGTTACGGAAATGCTGTGTGCTAAGAGCTGGCTAACGAAATAATGCTCTGTTACAGGGTTGGTTGACACCTCAGTGTAGTAGAAGCCAGAAGCTGGTGTTAAGCTACTTGCTTTTTGGCAGCTGCTTGCTTTGTTAGTTTCAAAGGAATGCATTGTGTAGTAGCTGTGAACACTCTCCTTTTCATTGCCTATTTTTTGCCACCTTAATTCCTGCAGAAATTAGCATTTCATTTAAAACTGTAATGTCTTAACATTTAATGTGGTCATTTATTGCTGAGATCTTTCAAACACAACTTAGTATCCCTAATGTTCTGCCAAAACAACAAACCAATGGCAGCTCATGTATCATTCCCAGGTGGGGGGGGAAAGAAAACTTAGCAGAATAATTACAGCAATTTCGATGATTGCAGTGCATTGCAGAAGTAAATCTGTGATCAAGTTATGTTCTACTGTTGCTGTTCTTGCTGACATTGAGACAGTTCTGCTGTCCTTTATACTTCTGCAGTGTTCCAAAAAACCCCAACAAAACACCTTTTGAGGTCAAGCTCAATGACTTGATCGTACTCCTGAGACAAAGAGCATGACTTGTGCAGTGTATGGGTCCCTCTGGGAGAGGTTATGGGTCCCTCTGGCAGAGGTTATATCCTGTCACTTAATCTGAACTCTTTTGCCTGTTTGGAGGGGTGGCATTGACTGGTTCTGAAGGGAGCCTGGTCTGGTCCTCCTCGTTTGCAGGTGGGAAATTAGTAGATAATGCAAAACCAACTATTTGGTCCTCTGACAAGGCTGCAAAGGCACTGGGTGGTGAGAAGGATATTTGTCAAATCTTGCTTTGTTTTTTTAAAATGTTTACACAGAGATCTGTATCCTTGAATATGTTTGTAATATGGAGTCTGGTTTTTCCTTAAGGTCTCCTGTAATGGCTGGAGGACTGTTTGCAGTCGATAGAAAGTGGTTCTGGGAGCTGGGAGGGTATGATGCAGGTCTGGAGATATGGGGAGGAGAGCAGTATGAAATATCCTTTAAGGTGAGCTATGTTCTCTGGAAATTACTTTTGTTTTGAAAAGTAAGAATTGTTCTGAGGCGCAGAATGTGAATGATCTATCTTGTCCTTGCTTTTGCGTGTGACTAAAGGTGAAAGAGCTGGGAGTAGTAAGATAGTACACAGAAGACACAGCGATGATGTGACCAGTTATTTGTGAGGGTCAGTTTTGGAGCATGATTAGCTGGGGTGTCCCCTGTTCTGTGGTCACAGCTTCAGATGCATGCGCTTTTCCCAGCAAGGGTAAGTCAGCTTGTGTGGAGCTCTCTCTGACTGTTAGGCTTCTGGCAAGATGATTAAATACTCTCCTTCTTGAGGAAAGGAGGAATCAGGCAGCTCAGCGTTTGCCCAGTTGAGTACCTCAGTCCTGAGCTTGAGTTCCCAGAGATGAGAGTAATTTACTGTCTATAGTCAATCCATCTGACTCCTGGCCGCAAGGAACTGAGACTATTAATTACCCTGTAAGAAATCCTCAGCAATTGGAATAATAACGCTCTTGCTGGCAGTGACTTCAGATCATTATCTGCCTGGCTTGGGGACAATTCTGTTGCTTACTGATTGACCAAGCTGTTCAATTGAAGGCTTTAAAATAGTTAGCCAGCTAACCAAAAATGCATACTAATAAGAAGTCACTGTGACCTACAAAGACCTGGTACTTGTGTTATCTTGGAATATGGCACTCTGAAATCCGTTCTAGGAAACCCACTGGAATGTCCCAGGCCACTGAAGGCAGGTGGCTAGCGTTCTCTTCAGTAGTGGGAATCCTTTCCATAGCCTGGAGCGAATTGGGTAAAGATTTCTATGTTAAACTCTGGGCCACCATGTGGTTTCTCTTTCAGAGGTAGAATATATAATCTTAGAGGTGTCTGGATGCCACTGAACTAAGGTGGTGGACCTCAGCACGGGGACAGAGGATGATAGCAACACTAACATAGTGCACAGTTCAGCTTCAGCAGCTAAAATTCCTCACGTCTCCCCTGACAAACAAGTCGTGGTTGATCTCTTACAAACCAGGTTCTGAAGTCTCAGTGCCTCTGTGCAATTCAAAGGTATAGCAGACTGTATTCAGCAAGCTATGTTACCGTACATACACACTGTGTGCTACTACAGCAAACAGTGGAAGAGAAGACATTGTTTTCAAGACAATGTATTTTCTTCCATTTGTTTGCTCACAAAAAAACCCAAAGGAATAAAGTCACATTGAAGGTCCCTTGTCCTCTGTAATGGCAACAGGAAGGGAGGGGTGAGGGCACCCTCTCTGAAGATGTCATTACAGTTAGAGCCATTTATTCTTTGTGTGGCACGTAATGAAATTGTGTAACACTGTCACTCTCTGCAGGAGGGGCAGGGGCAGTGGCAGGACTCGGCCTCTTTTCCTTGGCCCTTTTGGAAAATGCTGGTTTCCAAGAGTGATGACAGTGGCTGGGCAAGCCCTTTGTCTCCAATGCCACAGCAGACAGTCACACTGCTTGATCTGCAGGAAATAAGACTACTTCATTCATCTGTTTGCTTATCCTCTCTGAAACATGCTGTGTTTTATTTCAGTCCAGAGATAGTAATTTATGGAGGGATAAATTTGCTTTAATTAATCTCTTGCAAATACCCCTTTTTTCTTTCATTGTACAACAGAAAAATGAAGTTTTAACTGAAAGAGGCTCGGTGTATTTTCAGAAATTAAGATAAATTGATACATTCATCTGTGGCTGATAGATTTAATAATTCTGCTGGAATTGCAAGAATAGAAGGTTTGTTCATAGAATTTATGAAGCTATGACATTTCCTGGCGAGCTTAGAGCTACGTTTTTACCTTTAGAAGCAGACTGAGATTTTGCAGTTAAAGGGGCACTGTCAAATAATTTAAAGCTCTGGGTTTAGATGTGGGGTACCTGCTTTCATATTATTTATTATCCAATGGGAATTCAGATTCTAAGTGTGACAAATTTACAGCCTAGCTTTAACAAGGAATCCATTTCTGTGCCTGGGAGTTGTGGGTGCAGGTACTCTTTCGTACTGCTGGTCTTTGATCCCTTGCATCAGATCTGGCCTTCTTGAGCCTCACCAAGAGTAGATTCTTATTTTTTTTTTCCTTAAACATGTTCTTTTTTGGCCATGTATGGGCTGTACTTTACAGTTTTTTGCCTTTATTTTAAACTCCAGAGCTCTGTTGCTGAGAGACTGGAAATAAACAAGTTTATTTAGGAGTCTCTTGCCTTTCTGTTTTGAGATCATATGTATTTCTGTCACCAGCTGGCTCTGCTTCCTTCTAAGAAGAAACTTTCAAATTGAAGGCAAGCCAACAGAGAAACCATCAGTGTTTAGAATCTCAGAAAACGTTCAGCTGGAGGATGGATCAAACTCTATTAATAGAAGCCTTGCTCCTTTTATGAACTGTGTACACCAAATATCACTTGAAAACATAACATGCTGGAGGGACAAAAAAATTTAGGTGAACTTTAAATTAGAAACAAAGTTTTGAAAGCTAACTGCTGTTTGTAGTTTTCTGGGTATTCTCAATCCCTTAAAACAGAAATTTCTAGATTAGAAATGAAGGAGTTAATCTATCCATTCCATATTCAAGCAGAAAGCACATGCTTCTTCCTTCTGTTGACCTGTGTATATCCAGAATAGCTCAGTGCCTACAACCCAGTACTCCTACAGGTCAGGGGTCTTCCTATTTCAGGTCCACATCAGATGCAACGGAAAGACTGCAGTCTTGAATTTTATTTGCAGGCATTGCACTTGTTCCAATGAGCCTCACTTTTTCATGAACACTACTTGCAGAACGCTCCAGGCAAACTGCTCTGCAGCTCTGAGTGGTGTAAGAACCCTTCTCCATCTCGGTGGATTACCAGATGCTGACCTTTGAGTGCATTCCTGTATTTTGGAGAAAGGGAAACAAGCATGCACAGCTATTTCTTTATGGCATTTGTTATCTTTCCTTTCTGCTGCCTCTGACTCTACAGCCCTAGTTTCTCTGTTCAGTGGACTTTCTTGAGGGCTTATTTTGCTTTTTGGGAGTCACTTCCATACCTCTCTCTTCCGTACCTCTGTATTTTCCTTGTCTTTTGTATCGTTCCACAATGCTTGAAAGTTCAATTCAAGTGTTCAAAATTGAATACTTTACCCAAAGTGACAATGTGTCTTTCCTCTTCTAAACACAACTTAATAGCTCTGATTTTCAGAGTGCTTCTGCATTCTCAGCAAATACCTACATTCTGCTGTGTGCTTAACCACTTCATTTTCTTTGAGATTCATGTATTTAATTTGGAGCAATATATATGAAACATTTAAACTGTTCCTTTCTGCAAATGCTACTTTATACAGCACTTATCTACGCTCAGTTTTATTTGTGATTGTGGTGCCTCTTTTCCGGTATTTTTGTGGTTTCTATTCTGTTTGGCTTACACAATCTTCACTAAACTGCTTCACGTCTCTCTTCTTTAAATATATAGTCTCTGATTTTTGGGCAGGGGGAGACAGAAGAGGAAAAAGTGATGTCTCTGGCTTGTATAGGCATAAATATAGCTGTACTTCGTACCTCAGATCTTGTGGTGTGTTTCTCAATCCTTTAATTGTACATTGTACTTCAAAGAACGAGAATCCAGAATGTCCCTTGCTAGGTGATAGATTGTTTCAGCTTTACAAACGTTTGTCTTATAATTTAGAGATTGTAAAGCCTTTATTAAATTCAAAGGGCTTGGTGCAAACAAGCCATGTCATCAGTTGCACTGAAAAGAACAATTAAGGGGAAGCAAAAGAGGTGGGCAGTACTCATGGTCTTCACTCCTTGCTTCAGCCATGGGAAACATGCGCTGCGCTTACTCTGGTGATCGGAGATCATTGTGTTTTTCCAGATCCTTTTCCCAAAGCATCAACATGGTTGCTTCTCCTGATTTCCATAGCATAAAGCATGTTGCATGTTTTCCAACAAATCCAAGTGCTCTATAGCTTCTGTTTGCATATCTAATGCATGCATTTCCTTTGCCCCATGTCAGCAGCACATTTCTGGGTCACATTTTGTCACTGGCCTCCTGGCAGGTGCACAGTTAGGGTGCAGCTGCCAAGGGAGTGTTTCTGACAGCATTTCTAGTTGTATCGCTGAAGTTAATGCTGATTGTGAGCTTCCGCTGCTTATTCCAGGCACATACTCACACCACTTTCCAGCAGCTCACGTTTGCCCACACTGAAACAGGCCAGGCATTCTGCTGCTTTTTTTTTAAGCCAGCACACGTTGCTTAATTCTAAGGCTCTCAGCTGCAGTACAGCATGGCTTCTTTCTCCATGCCTCTCTAGTGATGCAGAGATCACTTTCAGACCACTGACTTGAATTTTTGGCCTCTGTTCATCCTATGTGCTTGGTTCAGGTTCCACAGTAGCGTCCCACCAAACAGCAACAGCAAAGTGGACCCCTACATTCTCTGAAATGTGGTTATTGGAAGGTGCTATCATTATTCTAAAATGCTCCAGGCGGTAGGGAGGGGCCATGCTGGTGTATGTGGTGTGAGGAGAGGCATTGTGCAAATAGATCCCAGTGTCTTTTGAGCTACCTTAACCTTTTATAGAGCAGTAAGCCCCAGCTGCAACAGCAGCCGATGCTTACAATACAGAGGATTGTGATTTTCCCAAATTATTGGTTGCCCTTACTTTCATCCTCCCACCTGCCTTGTTATGTGGAGAACCCCCTTGACTTATTCACTGTGTCCCTTTCTTCCCACCTTTCAGTGTGTGCATCTCTTAGCCAGCTTCTCTCCATTGGTCTATGCCATGGTCTTTATTTCTGTTGTGCCTTGCAGAATGAGCTTTCTTTTCAAGGCTTGACTTTGTGTCTTTTCCCTCTCTTGGGAAGCGTTGGCTCATCATGGTGCAGTCTTTGGAAACCATAAACCTTGTATACTCAGATAATTTGTGTTCACACACTAACTGTGGTATTGTATTGTATTTGAGAGGAAAGGTTCAGCTGTCTTGTGTGACATTGTTTTCTGAAACAGAAAGGGAACTGGATCAGCATAACATTCCCATGTAGAGAATAGGTGGTATATTATCTTGTGATTTCACAGCACACTAGCTGAGTCAAAGGCTCTTGAGTCACTTTATGAATATGGAGTTACAGCTCTCCAGGCTACTGAGAAGATGGAAGTAATATCACCTACGTTGTTATTTTACTCCCCTTGTATATGGTTTTATTATTAGGATGAGATTGTGGCCTTAGAAAAATCTGTTGCAGTATGCCCATTGACCTCAGTGCAGCCAGGTTTTCTCTTAATTCTGGCAGATCTGTCAGCTGCTGGGTTCCTAGCTGAAAATGTAGATTGGTAAAATTGTGCCTGAGGAGGAAGAGAAATTTCCTGTTCTCTCCTAATGAGACCTGATTAGATCATTGTATAAAGCACTGCCTGCCTGACCAGCTTTAATTCTTGTTCTTGCGGTGTTCTACTAAATGGCTGATTGAAATAAAGTGCGTCAAGTTCAGGCTCTGGTGTTTGCTGTCATGTCAGCCAGGGAGATGAGGCACCATCTTGCCCTTCTGTAAAACAACAAGAAGAAGAAACTGGCTCCCCTGGCCGAAGGAGAACACAGTGAGTGACAGTCATTGTTACCGTGGAGGCAGAAGGTGCTGCCCCACAGAACGGTGCTGTTGCAGCTGTTTGACAGCACTGTATTTTTAGCAGTGTAAGTTCTGGTGTGTCATGCCTGTGAATTGTACCCTTGTTTAAAAACAATCACATACTGCTAACGGAGTGGAAGCGTTCTCTCAGCTAGCACGCAGCTATTTTGGGTTTGCTTCACTTGCAGTTATTCTTTGACAGACCCTTGGATGTGATTCCCCTGACCTTTAACTCTAACTTCCTAATGCTTTTG